CACAGAATCCGAAGCAGGCTCCAGGCTCCAAGCCGTCAGCACAGAGCCGATGCGGGGCTCGAACTCACCAACCATGAGATCATGACGTGAGCTGAAGTTGGATACCTAAGGGACTGAGCCACCCAGGCGCCCCCTAACATAAAGATTTTTGTAAGCATAAATATGTAAAACTGTTTCTGGTGTCAGTGTTATCTTAGATTTATATACACTTCTATTTATAAATATAATTACTTATATATTTACATAATGTATATATTTTTAGTGTCACATGTATTCTATAAATGTGACACAAAACTGCATGTAATATAGCTCTTTCAAGCAAAGCCTGATAGCTAAACTATATGTATATTCAAATATATATTCCCATTACATAGGAACTCCTATGTAATGGGAATATATATTTATAGGAATATAAAATACTTCTATTTCATACGTTTAATATATTTGAAGAAGTAGAAGTAATCGCATCTTAAATACCTCCCAGTGTATTCTCTGAAACAGGATTTATGTAGGTCTCATTTAAAGAATGAATAATCAAGTCTCCCTCCTTATCATTCAAGAAACATTTAAATGCATTTACTTAGATTAATTCGATGTGTCCGTTGCAAAGTCGGCTGGTCATTCCATTACTGTTCCAGAGAAGGGACTTAGTCCCAGAGCCGGGTGACCCCACTGGCAGTCCGCTCTTCAGGCGGGGTGCGCACCAGGTCAGATCGAACCTGTTCATTTCGCTTCCGTTCATAAAAGACACCAAGCTTCTCCAGACCGTGAGCAAAGTGTTCAGACATTTTCAAGTGCCGACCAAATCTATGTAAGAAAGTTAATATTCCCTTTCTTCGCTCAACCATTTCTATTTTTGTGATGAGTGACGTATGTGACGCCCCGCCCCGATTTCACACCTCCAAGAACAAATAAAAAGCAAATGTGTTACTTATAATGTGTATCTAAAAAGAATACTTTTGTGTTAAATTTTAAAACTTAATCCTCAGCCGTTCTCATTTATTTTTAATGAGGGGACTTCACTAGAAAGCAAAAGCTAATTGAAAATAAATCAAGAGTGATTAATGTTTTCCAAATAGGAATCACAGTCCAAAACGGGGCAAAATATCGCGGTTAGTGCCTTTATTAGAGCAACGAAAGTAGTCAAATTGATGACAGAACGGATGTGGTCTTCGGTGCTTTATCTTGTTTGGTTAAATATCATTGACAAGATGTACGAAGTGAGTAAGTTGCACCAGTATTATTCCCCTGAGAGGTCCTAGTTGGCTCCTGATAGGTGGGCTCTGCATTGTGCGTTATCGTTTTCTCCTCTTGCAAGCAAAGAGAACAATATAGGAGAGAAGTAATCTCAATAACATTCAAACCTGGTAAACCAGAGATCACGGAGAGTTCCTTGCCAAGGGACCCATACTGTAGCTGGGCAGAAAGGGACAGACGGGTCGGTAGATGGAGGGCGGGCAGATCTGAGTGCTTGTCACACACACATTTACCCCGGAATTGCTGAAGGGAAGGTTATGGAATGCGTCTGATGCATTATTCAAGTTATCTCAATCTTCAGAGAGTGGCCGAGGACAGAGGTGGTTCTAAGACCCCACCCAAACTCACAAAACAAACAAGCTAGTGATCAGTTACATACGTTAACAGCGTGGATGTTTCCGTATAATGGTGACAGTAATTGTGTAATCAAGTGGCCCGATCGCTGTTATCGAGAGTTACTGTCTCTGACTCTAAAATTGGATATGATATAGCTCTTTAAAGCAAAGTCCTGTAAGTAAACATAACAACAATTAAAGCAGCTCTACTGTTTGTTCTCATGTGAGATGTAAGTTTGATAGTGATGCTTATTTCTACCTATTGATATTTAAGAATACTCAAAAAATCATGAATATGCTACCCGTCTCAGGGAGGGGAGGGTCTGGGTTCCTGAGAGCATGTGTTCAGGAATCCCTGTGACCAAATATACCCAACCAATTTTGAGGTCGTTGGATCCCATGATGCTTTTTTTTTTTTTAATATTTATTTATTTTTGAGAGAGGGAGTGCGAGCGGGGGAGGGGCAGAGAGAGAGAGGGAGAGAAATTCCCAAGGAGGCTCCACACTGTCAGCATGGAGCCCGATGCGGGGCGGCTCGAACCCACAAACCGCGACATCATGACCTGAGCCGAGGTTGGACGTTCAACCGGCTGAGCCACCCAGGCGCCTCTCCATCATGCTTTTTTATGTCTGTCCCAGAGTATAATGAAGAATCTTCCTTTTTATAGTACACATTTTGATTCACATAACAAAACAATAACGTGTTTTCTAGCATTTGCTAATTGGAATACTAATGCCTGTGTGAATTGTCTTAAAAGCATATTGACTAGTGAATGCTTTAAAACAACTTTTTTTTTGCCTCTTTGTTTTGGTCTAGATTGGACATGCATTCTTTACTACTGTGATAGCTTGAGCAAACACTTCTAGACCTCAGTTGAACACCCCACCCCTGGCAGCGCTTTAAAATAGTCTGAGGAACTTTTAAGACAACTCTGATGTCCCACCCTCCCACCCAAAGATTCTGAACTATTGTCTGCTATGCACCCAAAATTGCGAACCACTGGCGTAGCGAATGTTTTCGGTACTTCAAGCATTTCCAACGGGAGATCTCAAATAATCTACTTTCCAGAGTTGGATGGTCTCAATATCTCCAAAGTTTAACACAATGGCATAGTGATCATCTATTGCTGCGTGATAAATTGCCACCGCTTAAGGCTGAACCCAACCCACTTTGATTATTTCACAGTTTCTGTGGGTTAGGAGTCGGGGCACAGCTTAGCCGGGTTCTCTGCCGAGGGTCGCATGAGGCTGTGATCGAGGTGTCCACCCGGACCGGAGTCTCATCTGGAGATTCCTCCGGGGAGGGAGTCCCGTCATCACCTGCATGTTTGTTAGCAGCATTGAGTGGCTTGTAGCCGTACGACTGAGAGCGTCTGCATTTTTGCCGGCTGCTGACCAGAGCCTGACCTCAGCCCCTGGAGCCTTCCCTGCAAGTTCCCTGCCATGTAAGGTTTCCCACCCTGACCCCTCACTGCCTCACGGCCGGCAGGAAGAGGGACGGACACTCCCATAAAACAGGGGCTGCAGCCTTATGCAACAGAATCCCATAATCAGGTACAGCGTATCACCTTTGTTCCATTTTGTTGGGTAAAAACAAGTCACAGGCCCTACCCACAAACAGTGGAAGGGGGTCACACAAAGGCATGGACCCCAGCAGCGGAGATCACTTAAGACTCTTCTAGCCTCTTAGAAACAAGCGTATGCACACCACAGATGTGTGAGTCAGCAGTATATCAGCAGCAAGTTTTCCTTAAAATACGTAACACCATCAGGCACCTGGGTGGCTTGGTTGGGTGTCCGACTTCGGTTTAGGTCATGATCGCATGGGTCGTGGGTTTGAGCCCCGCATCGGGCTCCCCGCTGGCAGCTCGGAGCCCGCTTCGGATTCTGTGTCTCGCTCTCTCTCTCTCTCTCTCTCTCTGCCCCTCCCCCACTCGCGCTCTGTCTCTGTCTCTCAAAAAAAGAAACATTAATAAAAAATAAATTAAGGAAAAACACACGTAAGCATTTAACTACTCTATGACAGGTCTATACTGCCTATACTTTTAAAATAATTAAATTATGGGGCGCCTGGGTGGCTCAGTCGGTTAAGTGTCTGACTTCAGCTCAGGTCACGATCTCGCGGTCCGTGAGTTCGAGCCCCGCGTCGGGCTCTGGGCTGACGGCTCAGAGCCTGGAGCCTGTTTCAGATTCTGTGTCTCCCTCTCTCTGACCCTCCCCCGTTCATGCTCTGTCTCTCTCTGTCTCAAAAATAAATAAACGTTAAAAAAAATTAAAAAAATAATAATAATAATTAAATTATTAGCATGAAGTGAGGGCGTGACCACGTTGTAGTTCTGAAGGTAAGCGTGAGGGCATTAACTGAAAGTGATGCTGATCGATCTTTAGGACGAGGGCATAAAACTGCTGTATCTAAAGGATGTATGGACTTAGAAGTAAACTCAGTGCTATAGTACCATTTGGTTTCCAATTTTCTGGTGAGATATATATATATATATATATATGATGGAATATATATGATGTAACATATATGATATATATATGATGTAATTGATACATAGAGAGATGATGTAAATGAAGCTCTATATTATACATATTATAGTAGATTATGAAGCTTATATTCTGACTATATTTTTCCTTTCTCTCCTCTCACTAGGTGTGATAGCCGTTGTGATATTTATCTTGCTCTGCATCACTGCCATAGCTATACGCATTTACCAACAGAGATGGTTGTACCACAAAAATGAATCGAATATTCCAAAACACGGAGACAATGCCGAGACCGCTCTGAGAAGTGAGCTCAATCTGCAAAGTACAGTCAGTGAAAGCCAGAAGGAGTATTTCTTCTGATGGGCAGTAGAGGCTCACTCATGCATGGCCCTGGTGATGCGACTTTCGGGCTGAGCCAGGGGCTCCCAGGGGATGACGCCCCCTCTCGTGCTCTTGGGACAGACCGTGGCCGTGGGGCGCCGTCAGCTTGCTCGTGTGTGGCCCCAGGAGGCCCTGCTCAGTGCTGCTTCATGATCTATTGATGTAAAAGTGACTTCGGTGTGCTCATTAATCACTGTGTGGCAGTTTCTGACTGTTCTGACCTGATCTTTGAAAATTCAAATGTATTTTGCATAATGACTCTGGGTGTTAAGTGAGGGCAAGGATTTGAGCTGTGGCTCTACTCGCTTAAGACGGGGACACAGACGTTTATAAATGTCAGAGTTGGACTCTGATGTGCGTTGTGTGGAGGTCTGTATTTTGCTTCCCTTATCGATCACCTGCTGACGCTCGTAAAGCAGGAAGTGTTTCTCAGATGGTGTTCGAGTGGTTTCCATCTTCCTGCACACCAGAGCCTGGTGGCCAAAAATGCATTCGAGACTTGGAAAAGAACATTTTTTGGCTGCTTGTTTTTACTATTTGTCTCTTTTAAGTCCGTTTGCATACGTTTTAGTGACGAAGTGCATCTTGAATGTCAGCTACGAAATTCTAGTATTCTGTTCATTCATGGAACAGAAAAATGCATAGGTAGCAAAGTGTGTAAAACATTCTGATCTGCAATATTTGCTATTTTACTCTGTAACTGCTCATTTTAATCTTTGTAAATTATGATAAAGATGACCTCATGATCTCCCCCAAAACATCTATTTTCTAACTAAACCTGTGCCCAGGTATGAACTCTATATTTAACACTGCAAATGTATCCTTCACCCATTTCATTTAAATGAAATACAATCTTGAATTTATTTCCTTCAAATGTGGGGTGATTAGGTCACTATTATTTGTTGTCCTGTGGTTCCCTTTTTTCTGAGGTGGTCACAACAATCTGGTTTCTTACGACTGTCTTTTCATTTACTAGGGAAGAGTCACAATTTGGAACTAAAGCTCTCCATTTCTTTTTCTAAATCCTGAACTGATCCACGCAAACCCTGGATTCCCCGAAGGTGGAAGGATGCTTTTGCGAAGGGAGGGTGCGGGCTGTAGGATCTGAGTTAAATCTGGCGTTCCGCTCAAGCATCTGGGATCTCGGGGTCTGCTTCCATTAGAGCCCCCCAAATCAACCAGCTCATTTCATAGTAAGGTATATTTGCATCCGAGGGGAGCAAAGAACGGACACGAACCGCGGGAATCGTGCCAGGAACTCCTTTCGCGGCAGTGGTCACGAGATGACTGTGTGCAGCCCACCATTTGCACCCAACAGCCAGTTACACAAATGATGTGCCGCCCTCTTCAGATGCCACTTGGCCACGTGCCTGCTGGGAATCAGATTGCTCCCTTTGACCCCAATGGGACCACCTGGGACTATACACATTTAGCCTTGCTGTTACCTTTGAGTGCACACCTACTTTTCTGTGATTTTTTTTAAAGAATAGAAACAGATAGCCTCTATACTAAGTCTTTTCTCAAGAAAACCCCTTTTTTTGTTTCTTAGGGTTTCATATTAGTTTTCTATGAGGTGTAACAAACCACCACAATGTAGTGGTTTAACGCGACACACGTTTAGCGTCTCACTGTTTCTGTGGATCAGGAGCTAGGCATGGGTTTACTGTTTCCTAAAAAGCTGTAATGAAGTGTCAGCCCGGGCTGTGTTCTCATCTGGAGACTCAGCTAGGGAGTCCTCGTTCTTAACGGCTATTGACGACATTCTGTCCCGTACTTCTGGAAGATTCACAGAAGTCTGCTTCTGTTCAGGGCTAGCAAGAGAGAGCGCTACTCTAGTGCAAGTCTGCAAATATGAGGGAGTTTTATGGAACATAAAGTGATGATGGGAGTGACAGCCCATCTCCTTTGCCAAATTCTGTTGGTTGAAAGCAAGTCACAGGTCCTGCCCACGCTCAAGAGGAGGGGTTTATGTAGGACTTGTAACCGGCAGGCTGAGATCATGGGTTCCCTTTAAAGTCACTCTCTACACTACTATATCTTTATTGAAGTTTCTTTAAGTGAGCGATGAAGGATTTTCGGGATCTCAACATAGTAATACATGAGAAACCTACCTTGGTGAATGGTATCCATACTTTTCACCCAAAAGGTCTGCGCAGGTCGGGGAAAGATTCAACGCAAAATCATGGGCCCTGTTGCTTCTACGAATGCATAGTTGAATGTGAACATCCTGAAATCGTTGCAACTTTAACAGATGATCATGTTGAGTTCCAAGAGAATTCATCACTTTGGTAGCTGGAATTTTACAGATTTATAGATAGGGCAATCCGTTGTACTCTGCTCTCTTTTTAAAAGAGAAAACAAAATGTTTCTACCAAATTGCGGTGATGTATAATCCACTTTACCGATTTGTAAACGTCAACCTGCTTATTTGTTAATAAAATAACGTTTTTGAATTAAATTAGGAAAATATTTTTAAGAGAAATTGACTGGAATTTGAATTGTGAATTATATTGTTTTTTCCCCTAATCTATTAAAAAATGTGCAAATGTCTCCATTCTGTAATGGTGTGTGTGCTACGTTACCTGTACTGTCTACAGAGAGAACACTGTGGTATGTTAATATTATTTGTGATGGTATTTAAATTATCAAACACAAAGTAAAACACAAAGTACCTAATAGGTACTGATTATTACAAGCTAAAATACCCGTGAAGGTAGAAGTCTAAACCTTTGCCAGAGAACAATAATTTAACAACCAGTAAGTTATTTGTTGAGTGGAATGTTTACGATACACTCAAAACTGGTTAAACGTGATTTTCCCCAGAGTTGAGTTTCTCGAGCACTCTAAATCTACAAATTCCAGTTGCAAATAACATCCTGCTATGAAATAAATGTTGAAAGATCATAATTCCCCAAAATTTATTTCCCGGTAGAAAAGGAAAATAGTTGGGAATTAACACTTGTTATTGGGACTGGCATTTGAGAACTTCTTTTTGCTCCATTATTAAGTGAAGACCCCCCCCCCCCCTGCTTCATTCCCTCCCCAGTATTATTTAACAATGTCGAAAAACCTATCAGGGCATTCTGTTTGTCTAGAATAATCACTGCTTCCGGAACTTTTTCACTTTCTTTCCTGTAGCACATCTCATAGGTAGTTGTTTTCAACGGGCTTTCTGAAAGTAAACTATTAAGTTCATGGCTCTTGAAGGAGGACAAATATGATTGCAGCGTTTTCCATATCGAGTATACGGTGGCTCTGACGATGCAGCTGCGTTATCGAAATAGTCGACCGCCAAGGGAGATGCGGTGGACCCATGTTGAATGAAAACATGTTCATTGGGTTGCTTAATCTATTGTTTTGCAATCCATGTACTAACCTGGATTAGGTTAAAGAATCCTTTGGCGCCTTCAATAGATCCTGGCTGATTCCCCCTTCCCCCGCCAAGCTCGTAATGAGTGGCAACACGGAAGAAAGGATTAGAAAGGAAGTGATAAACATGAAGCAGTGTGCACTCCACGCGGTGGGGAGGTGGATTATGTGTGTAGGTGAGCCCACGGGCACATTTCCGAGCTCCAGGTCATTAACAGATTCTGTGCACGTCGAAAATACTACAGCTGAATAAAAATGTTATTAGTGATAGATCTTTGGGCTACTTAAACCTGCATATGAGAATGACTACTTTTGGGGAAGATGAAAGTATCCATAAGCGCTGGTTTGGCAAATTCAAGTTCAGAGAAAGTATCGAGTTGTTATTTAAAAAAATCCTTATTCTCAGAATCATAGAGATTTCCCATTAGCAGGGGTATGAACTGCCTTGCCGTGCAAACTTTGTCTCCTCTCTGCTCAGGCTCTCTAAGCAAGTCCAAGTTGCTTTTTCCAAGGAAACAGCTTTATTAGCAAGTGAGTTCAGATTACAAGATCCTTGTTTTTTCTACTGGGCGAGTTGTCTGGGTGTAGCTCCTGCTAGAGTTACTGCTGTACCTGACATTCTTTGGAATAGCAGCCATAATATGTGGTGTAACTTTCAGCGTAAGATACGGGTTGTGCTTTAGGAAGAGAGATCTGTGTTCCCGGGACGTGTGGCTGGATGTATCATACACAAATCACACGGCTGGGTGAGTAAGCTGGAGGGCTTACTTCCTGTAAACCTTCTGCTTCAAAATTACTAATAATGACTACCTTTGCCACCCTTTGATCGTGACCGGAAAATGATACGGATTCACTCTATTGTATCGTCATTTGTGTTAAAAGGATGAGACCCTGGACTCGGCTTATCATGTACTTTGTGAATACAAATGCCCCTGTCTCAGGTCTACCCTTGCCTTTAGATTTGAAAAATGAGATTTTCTAATTCCCTTAATATTTAAGACATCTCTTAAAATAGAAGCTTTACGGCTGCATAGAGTGCTTTGCCTCATAAGCTCTCCCTTTAATTTTTACAACAAACCAATGAGGTTAGACATATATGCTTATCCCCTTTTTACAGATCAGAAGACTGTGGCACAGAAGTCCTTCGTTGCTTAGGTCAGAGTCACACAGCTGATTACTCCCAGCCAACGGCAGCCTGATGCTCCTATGCAACAGTGGGCTGGCTTCCATTTTCCACAGCAAGTAAAGATAAGGCATGACCACAGTTATTTTTTGTTTCAATCTTTGCAGATATGAAATCGTATCTTCATGTTGAAAATATTTCGTGTTGAAAAAAATGTGGAATTGAAACTTCTGTCCAGGTAAACACACACACACACACACACACACACACACACACGACTTTCTACAAACTGGTGCCAGATTTATGCTTTGAATGCTTCCTAGGATGTTTATTATATAGAGAGAAATATTCTACTTGTGCTTTCTTTAATGTTCATTATTTTAAGCATATACATGTACACATATATATACACATATACAAACATATACTCATATATACATACTCATATAGATACTTACGTATACCAGCATATATAATAGACTATATA